CGCTAGCGCGGGAACTCGGCTGGCAAACTCGCGCTCTGATTGGTCGCGGTTTTTCGTTAATATCTCGTAAACGAAGCCTCAGTTTAAATTTTGGCTAAGGAAAAAGTTGTTCCAATTCACCCCCCGAGTGCCACATTTCCGGATCGGAGGACATTTTTGGGACACCCTGTATAACTCCAAAAACTGATAATTCTATTCCCCTTGAAACCATTGGAACTAAGATAAACGCGCTCGGTGGGATCGATAGATCGTAGCCAGGGCGGGGGTGAAACCGTATTTATGTAATTACGCCTCGACAAGGGGGATCACGTTAAACTCGAGCGTTTGATCAACGTACGGGAATCAAAATCTACCCATAGAGAATCTCCGATCGTTCGAAATTGCGTTTACCGTTGCTGTTTGGCTTGTCGACCGAGCCGAGTAAATTTATTTTCGCGTGTCGACGCGCAACCCCCTACGGCGTGGACCAGCCCCAAAATCAACGAGCATAGGGAATTCCACCCTCTGCATTATTTTTTTTTTTTTGTTTCTCGTTCGCCGAAAGCCTGACATTCGTTCCTTCTCTCTCGCTCGTCGATCCACTAGATATCGATTCGTCTTTACGCGCGCTCTCTATGTCGAGTCGATGCTCGAATACACGCCTATCCAGCCGCCTGTTTGCGCTCCCCATTCCGTGTTTTTTTTTTCTTTTTTTCTGTTTTATTATTTCTACGTCCCATACGTACGAGGCGTCGGATTTTTCTGATTCCTTTGTTTGATTACGATTTCATGAATGAAAGTCGGGGGAACACGAATGTTACTCGTTCGCGTGCGAAACGAACGCGTGAATTCCACCACCTGAGGGGTGGCGGTATTTCGTTGCGATAATAGGGTCGGTGGAAAATTGTTCGCGGGGCTTGGGAAAAGCTCATTATTCCGGAACAATACCAAAATCTCGAGTGAACTTGTTGAAATTTAAGCACGCTTTTGTGGGGAATGAATCATCCTTTAAGTTTAATTGCTGCTTTTAAATCTGTTTTCAGTTGTAATTATGTTCTTCTGAAAATCATTTTTAACGTTTAATTAACTTTTTTAAGTAATAGGTTAAATATAATGAAATCGTACCTCCGTTAAATAAATATATAATTATGAGTGACTCCAGTTTTCGTCAACGAAAGGTTAATGTGAATTAATATCGATAATAAATAAGAATGTAATTAAAAATACTTACTACTACAGAAATATATCTAAAAAAATTCTTTCTAAAATGCTGTTTCTTATGATAATAATATTCTAATCACACAATCTTTTGCAGTGTATTTCTACTAAAAATATTCAACATTAAAATGACACAAAGAATCACAAACAATCCGTCGTATCGTCTGCAAGACTTTTCGTTTTTTTCTTATTTATCATTTAATTTTTTTCAATTTTTTTGCATCGAATGTACCACGTTGTGCACACACGCTTAAAACGTTCCGTGTTAAATAATTTTCGAGCCAGAAATCTCAATAAACTCTTTTCGACCCCTCTCGATACTCTCTTTTTCGCCGCCACCAGATCGTTTCCGTGGTTTCGTTCCGGCGGACGGGCGTGTAAACGGGCACTCCTCGTGAAATCCACGGAATATCGTCCATTTTATTTAGTGTTTCTTTTTTTTTTTGGTATCTGAATCGGAAGGAAATCACTACGAGATCTACACCAACGAGAGACAAGACGAAATTACACCTCGATCCCCGTTATCGTTTCTTCTCGTGTCGCTTCGTTATGTTTTCATTCCGATCTATTTAAACACATATTGTCATACAACGAATTTTATTTATTTACCTCACTTTTTTTATCATTTTATCTCCGTTTTTTTTTTTTGCATTCTTAATTCATTTACGTAACACCTAGCAGATCTCTGTTTCTCTCTCGCTCGCTCCCGCTCCGTTTCTGCGCCTCTCTGCGCGTCGATCGTTCTCTCGATGAAATTCACCTGTGGCGACCCCCTTCTACAATCAAATATGCGCCACCCTCTCTATTGTTTCTTATTCATCACGCGTCGAAATCGTTCGAAAAATCCTCAAATATCTTCCCGCCTATTTCTTTCCGTTCAACATGTATCATGATTATACACGGTTCAAGAAGAATTCTGTTCGTTTATTTTATAGATTCCACTTTGAATTTGTTAGTATTCCTTAACGGTTTACAACACGGAGACAATCGACAAGAGACAATAATAATTGAAGACAGTCAAACGACAGACAAACGGACATGCATACAGACACTTAATTGAGTTTTGTTCATATATTGTATCTCTGCTTGTTACTCGAGTAAAATGAAATTAACCTCATCTCTTATTTTCCCACATACACCCAACTATCTCTATCCCTATCACGCACACAATCTCATCACGTACTTTCTATATCTCTCTATCTCTCCTCCACAATCGCTAATCTCGTTGAGCCCTAGACGCTCTGTGTCGGGATTCACGCTTTCATAATATATCACGTCTCCGAAATCCGACAAGAAATCAGACTAAACGTTGTTCTCCATCTCGCGGCCCGTCATCTCCCTAAAAACTTTCGCTACCCCACCTATCCCTTTACTTCCAGCCGGAAGTTTTCAAACATCGTCAACATAAATTGTGTGTGTGTGTGTGTGTTTGTGTAGATGGCCGTATTTCTTTGCACGTGGTTTCTTCTCACACCCCCAAAATACTATTACAGAACCGGCCTGCAGAACCGGATATACACATTGATAAACGACGGATAACACGTAGATATAACACATCGATATTTATCCAACTACATTTAGCGTGATCGCGCGGCGCCGCCTCCCCTGGATTGTCGGATCGGTACGTCACGCGGTTCCCGCGAAATCACATTGACATTGACCATTATTTATTTTGTATTTTTATTTATGTGGGAACGATTAGGATAGTGTAGCCGGTCGAGTCAATGAAACGGGGGTTTAGGATGTGTGGGGGAATCGAGGGGAGGGTGGAGACTCAACGAAATATCGAGTTCGTTAATTGACCCAACCACGAGAATCACAGACAGATAATCAAAACATAATGGAAGGGGTGGGGTGGGGGAGGGGGTAGGTGGAGATGGGTGTTTCGAGGAGATTCTGGGACGAGAAACCGAGAAAATCAACGTCGGTTATTTTTCTCCAGACGGGGAAAAGAAGCATATCGTATTATTATTTTTTTTTTTTGTTATTTTTTCATTTTTGTTATCTGAGGGGGTGTGCTTTTTGGATATAGCTCCTCTTCTTTAGGCTGTTGACAGAATGGAAAACGAGAAAGTGGTCGTTTAGTCACAATCTGGTTATAACAATTAATCTGGTTAATCTAAAACACTTAGACGACGGGGAACAGAACAGGCGTTTTTTTTTTTTGTTGGAACAAACAACTAGGGTGAGAACGGTTATATTGTACATTTGTTACGGTATTAGAACACACATTTGGGAGGGATGGGGGTCCGTGTGGATATGATTTGGCAACCACGAGCGTTATTCTATGGAGGAAGCGTACACTGTGACAAAGGGGGGGTTGGGACGACAAGCTGCTCGAGAAATGCGGGTTACACAGATCTACGGTGACGACAACTAAACGCTTGCGTGAAAGAAGGTGGAACATCGAGATCGAGTGTCACGTTGATTTACGTATATACTCACGGGGGGATGTTTGCTTGGGCACACACCTTGTCTTGGGCATGGATCACTCGATCCGGGGAACTACCCCTTTCTTTCTCTATTCGATTCTACTCGTCGAGGGTAGAATCTGTTTTTCTGTAGTTTTTACGCTGGCAAATTTCTTAAACGATGTGTTAGGTTGCTGCGTTGACTCTGGTAATTTATCATTGGGGATAAAGAGAATACAGTGTGTAGAATATACTTGAAAATACTGTGTAGAATGTACAGGGTGTTTCATTACACCCTTAACTAGTCAGGTGGAATCTGAAGAATTCCATGAATATTTTTAGAATATTTTATTTTTATTCAATATTTAGGTAAAGCGATGATTCTTTATTTCAAAATAATTCTTTGAGTCTTGTTTGTTGGAGCTATTGTCATAATTTTCAACGTTTATCTTTTATTCCATTATATCGTTTATTTTCATTCACATATTTATCAGATGTGTGTGAAAATATGTCATTTAATAACCGTTTTAAACAAACCTTGTTTACGAAATCGAATATCCCGTCTAAAGTATTTTTACACAAAAATTCCAACTTTTGCAGCAACCTACACGTGAAACGTATATTTCAATTTTGGACAGACGTTTCATAGTGCCGTTGTTGACACTGAATATTTATTGATCCCTGTAACGAATAGAGACAGAAAGAGCTCGCTCCTATCCGAACGTATATCTTGCTCGAAAAATTTCGTTGGTGGTCGTAATGGAACAACGCGCGAACATCTCTTCAAGCTTTTCGTGGTTCATCAAGGTGTGTAAAAAAAGAAAAAAATATGGTTTTCAATATCGTGCACACGTGGTCCTTTTTTGTTCAGGGAAATCGATCGGGGACGCTGCATAGTTTGCGTCCGTTTACTAGGAGGCACCGGAAACCTCCCGGCAAAAGTCCTCTCTTTATATTCTTGTTTTCCCAGTTCTTTTTAACAGGCGAACAACGTTGATCGTTAACCAAGGATAATTACGAAAAAAGAAAACAAAAAGCTTTCCTCGGTTAACGTTGTCCTGTAATAGGATCCTTTATGTCCGTTTTTTTGTCCCTGTATTTGGTCACTTTGATCTTGTTAATATTCAAAAGCTGGACATGTGAACGTTTGATGATCGTATAAGCGGTGAAGTCTGGGTCAAATTGAATCTCTACTCGTCTTTCAATTTTCAGAACAAATGAATCTATATTTTTCTCAGACTTAACATAGATAATCTTTAACTAAAATCTGTTATTATGAACTAATCACTTACAAGGAGAAGGCCCCAACTTTCAAGTCGTCGATTTTAGTGAAACTTTTAGGATATGTAGTAGATTTCTTACATTTACGAATCACCCCCTATATGGGGTCAGATAGTCAATAGTTTATTATTAATAGTAGATCATTCGTAGATGTAGCGTCAAGGCAACATCCATGGTATTTAACGCGACGGTTAGAGTTCAAATACGTCCCCTTTAAAGACCTTTCGGTATATCTGGGACGTATTTAAACACCGACTGTCACGGTACAAATCATGAACGTTACCTCAACGACACACCTGAAAGCGATCGGTCAACTTAACTTTCATTTAACTCACACAGAAAACTTCAAAAGCAGATCTTTTATATTTGACTGCTTAACAGACATATTGAGTTTCATCGAAATCGGAGGGGGACACTTCAGTGCCTTCCCTTGTAAGTAGGCTTCTCCAGGTTCTAATTCCTTTTTCCGTTTATTAGATAACTGAAAGCACTCAGATAAAACTGAGGACTTGTGCCAGACGTGTTTCGTGGCGCTCCATGTTCAGCGCAATCGTCCATCGCAAGCAAGGTTAACGACGACCAACGATCCACTAACCTTTCGGCGGCTGCATCCCCAACTTTTTCATGCCCTCCCGGACCTCTTGGAGGTCCGTGTCCGTGACCCTCATGCTATCGGACACGAATTCGTGGCCTGGCGAATCTGCCGACGCGCTGTTACTTCCGGTCGTCACGGTTCCGCTGGTTTCCTGGCCAGTGGTCACTTGAACTGTTCGCAACACAACACTCACGGCTATACTAAAAGGGTCGGGGGAACTGCCTAAACGCTACGCACGAAGCCGACTAGAGGGCGTATTTTATCAGACTTCGTTCTCATTCTTTATATCGGAATCGGTCGATCTTTCTGTGTGTGTGTGTACGGTTATTTTACACCAAAACTCGCTGCACTTCGTTTTCCGTGGAATTGATTGAATCCGAGGTGATTGAGTAAACCAGTCTGTGGCTGTGGCTATTTCGTTATTTACGGACGGAGAAATGTTTGCTTTTCGGTTTTCACTCGTATCGGAACCAAGTTATCTTCTGTTAGTGTTAGATTCGTGGATGAAAAGAAATTTATTGATTGAAAATTGGGGAATTGAACTGCTTATTTACCCTGTTCATGGGTTAGGCTGAAAGGAGGACAAAATCCTTCGTCTACTTTGGAGAATTGTCTTAATTGTGTTGATATGATAAAAATATGTCCTTTTAATTATTATCTTCGATGAAAGGTTATTCAATTTTTAATAAATTCAGTCGATAATCTACAACTTTCCATCTTTTCAATGGTAACAGTAATTTTATATAGGTAAATTCGTTCTCCAAGTGAACTAATATGGCGTGGAATATGTTGAAATTGGCAAACAATTGGTAAAACTTGAGTGTCGGTCACCTAAGAAAAATATTTTATACAATAATATACTAACAGGAAAATCTTTTCGATGATTATATCTCATCTCCACAAAGTTTCAAAGAGAACAGTTTCCACCTTTTATTAACAATTCCACGCACCAAATAATTCATTAAATTGCCTCTTTCCGACCAGAATTATTTCTTTCGAACAATAGAATATACATCCTTTTACATGCAGTTATTTCTTGGATACCAGAAAAACAGGAAAATTAAAAAAAAA